GTGTTGGACATAAATACAGGAAAAACAAAAGAATTTTAGCTGTTTTTCTGACGACAAAAAAAAGTATTTCGAGGAAATTTAAGAAGAAAGAAGATGATGCACCCCAATTATGATGGAAATGTGTTACAAGGTATATGATCTGAGGGGAAATAAGACAGAAACAGAGTGTTCTCATACGTCCAAAATCAAGACCGAATTGAACAATTTATCAGAGAAGCTCTGGGGAACCCCTAACTGGTAAAGTAATTTACTATGATTTAGGAGAAGCGGTGATGCTAAGCCCAAATCAAGGGTTAATGCACTGCCATGTGCTTCTGTTAGGGGAATCGTTAAGCTGGTAATCCCTTCAAGACACAAACGGGGCATTAGATGGCTGACCACAAGGAGGTGCAGCACTGGTCAAAGCAATCCAAAAAGTTATCAGCTGCTCACCGAAATATACAAGCAGTGCCGGAAACACAACTTAGAAATTAAAACAGAAATTAAAACACATGACCCAACCTTCAAAACGATTTTCTTCATTTCTTCATCAGGCGAAGCAAACTCTCGGATCAGTATCAGCATCACTTCACGTGTATAATATGAGGCATATTCGGCGTCCATAAGCGGAATGAGAAAACCAATCGCTTTCAGGAATGCAGCAAGACCCTAAATTTAATTAGTACAATAAAAATCCTTCCGAAAGCGCGCACGGGATCCATATTTTCAAAGCAAGGCATTCTTACTTTTCCACGATGCGAGCGTATACCTTTCCAGAGCGGCTTCAGCACTGAGTCAAATGCCTCGATACCATACGGTGTAGCTGCTTCAGCAAGTGCTGCCAAACACAAAGCTGTGATTGTCCGTACCTAAAAGCAAATTTTGTCCCTCAAATGTGGTGAAAACAAAGGCACTGAGGGAAAGAAAATGGGCAAAAACGGATCCACAAAATGATGCTGGACAACGGGAAATCAGCCAATAGCGCTGTGGAGGAATGTCTTCAGGACGAAGTGAGCTCGCTGCTGCCAGGTGCATCGAAGACGAAAAACATGACGTCAAGATAACAGATTACAAGGATCTGTTATGCTGCACATCTTAACAGCTCACTTTTTGTTGGTCGTCGACGAGTCCAGTCTCAACAATTTCAACCAGC